TACTATTTTTAACAGTATATTATCTTTATAGTCTTTTTTTTTTTTTTTTTTGTCTTTTTCGTTTTTACCGGTACCAGGGATCGAACTCACGACTGCCTGCTTGCAAGGCAGGCGCTTATGCCGCTGAGCTAAATCCCCAGCCCCTATCTTTATAGTCTTTTCCAGCTCAGATATTCCTAGGTATTATGGTTGTAGGATTTAGCTTGATCTCTAGCTTTGGCGAGTAAATGTAGCTTGACTCAAAGGCTGTGAACAGAATCTAACAGTAAAGGTTGGGAGATCTGAGTTTTAGTGTGGGCTCTGCTACCAGTGTTGTGTGACGTGCGCAAATGCCTCTAGTCTCTGGATTTCCCCTGGTTTTTTTGTTTTTGTTTTTTTCTAGGGTTTTGTGTGTGTGGAGACAGTCTTGCCTCAAAGTTGGGACAGTCCTGCCTCTGTCTTCCAGAGTGCTGGAACTACAGGCATATGTCACCATGCCCAGCTCCCTGTCTGTTTAAAAGTCAGCAATGTGGGCTTCATGATTTCTAAGGGCCTAATCAGTTTTAACATTTGGTGAATCTAGAGGGTTAAAGGAATGTCTTATCAGTTGTCCATTGGAGCTTCATTTTACAATTTCAATGCCCTTCCCTACTGCCTCTTCTTCCTTGAGGTGGCTCCTTGAAAGCCCCAATCTAGATTTTCTCCTCAGTGTATAGATTTAATCACATTTAGTTTTTACCTTTACTGTATACTAAAGCTCTTTAAGAGAATTTTTGTAAGAGAAGTGTATCCTATCAAAGAGGTCAAAACAGTTTATGTTTTCAAATACAAAACATAAGGTATTGTACAGAAACATTTATTTGTTGGTATCATTTGTGTTTATCATAGAACAGGCAGCCTTGTGTGCTTTAATTAAAGATAAAAAATACTGCATTCGCTGCATCCTTAAAAAAATCATGGGCACAATTTAGATAAAAAGATGTTTGTTAAGTATTATTATTCATAAGAGAAAAATTGAAAACAACCTGAACCTTCAACAATAGGCCTAACTAAATTGTGGAATATCCACTTGACAGTGCTCTTAAAACTGGTGATGCAGATGTTTACAGTATATTAAGTGAAAAAAAGTCAGTTCCAAAGTATGGTCTAAATTTAAAAAAATAAAACAAGGGCCAGGGATTTAGCTCGATGGCATAAGCACCTGCCTGGCAAGTGCAATGTTGTGAGTTCAATCCCCAGTACCAAAAAAAGATAAAAAATAAAACAAAAAACATTAGATTGAGACATATGATGTTGCTGACATTTGATTGTATTTGACCTAGAAAAATCAACAATTTCATATGATTTTATATATATAAACACATATATATAATCTATAGGAGAAGATACTACAATGGTAGATTTTTCTACCAAAACACTGATGGCAGCTATTTCTGATTGATGGCTTTATAGTGATTCATGTTTTTATTTAACTATATTCTTATTTAACTCTATTTTCTAAAATTTTTATGAGCAATTTAAATACTCCTAATAAAAATAATCTGCTAGGAAGGTATTCCATTGTGTGACCAGTAATTCTTATCCCCTAATACCTTGTTATCATTTGTGTTTAAATGGTCTACAATGACTGCAATTGTATGATTGTGGGTAGGATGGAAAGCTATCTTCTTCACGCACTTTTGGTACCAGGATGGGTTTTATTTAGTAGTGACTGTGCAGAACACTTTGCTGATGGGCCTGGCTTTTCAAAGACCTCCTCATCGGGACTGGGGATTTAGCTCAGCGGCATAAGCGCCTGCCTTGCAAGCAGGCAGTCGTGAGTTCGATCTCTGGTACCGATAAAAAGGAAAAAGACAAAAAAAAAAAAAAAAAAAGACTTCCTCATCTCTTGCTGCTGTCTATAACTGACAAATGTTTTCCTTGAGTAGGGCTTCAGGCCAGCCATGGCCCTAATCCACCCACGACCCAGATTTGGGTATAGTTCAGGCTCCAACTGTTCTTCCATTTTACCCTGTGTTTCTTTCAGTCTCATCTCTTCCAGGTTGTCAGAGCCTTCATCTAACCTCCTGGCCCTCCCTACTAATTTTGCCATCTAATTTCATCCTTTTATGTACAGTTGGCGTTTGGTTTTGGTGGGGCTCCGTTTGCAATAGCAAAGGAGTAAGAGTCATGATGTCTTTTTCTTCTTTCTTCTTTCTCTTCCTCCTTGTCCTCCTCCTTCTTTGTGTGTGTGTGTGTTTTTTTTTTTTTCTTAGAGCCCTTGACTCCTCCAGGGGCTAACAGGCAGCTAGCAAGGCCTGCATTCCCTAGGAAGAAACAAGAGGTGGTGGAGGAAGTAGTGGCAGGCTCAGCTGGCAGGCGGGACAGAGATAGTCTCTAGGGACCCTGTCCTGGGCCTTGGAGCATGACACAGCTGCCACCCAAATGTGAGCATGAAGTGGAGCTCTTTCTGTGTAAGAAATTAGCTTGAAAGGTGGTGCTTGGGACCTTTACCCTTAATACCCAATCATACCCTCTGAAAGGTGAGGCGGGACTGGATTTCTGGTTTGCAGAAATCTGAGGTGGAATATGGGTACAGAAGTAAAGATAGTTTTTCTTCTTCAGATTGGGTGATTTATAACCCCAGCCCTTATGCAATGGTTCCAGCAATACTCAAAGACTGAGCACTCACCCTAACAGATGATAGTATGTAATTAATAACAAAAATCCTTTACATGTGCATAGTACTTTATAGTTTGCAAATCCCTTCATCTCCAGGAATTAAAAGCTAACCCTGGGATTCAGGACTGAGATTCTAAAAGCTGGGCCAACAGATTTTGGTGTGATAGTGCATAGTGTTCTGAGAATAGTTTGCATTTAGCCTTTTCCTGCTGGCCTAGGACGTCTACTTATTTTCAGGGTGATGATTTTTTTTTTTTTTTGAGACAGTGTCTTGCTGTATAGTTTGGTCTGGCCTTGCAATTGTGGCAGTTCTGCCTCAGTCTTGAGTGTTGGAATCACAGGCATGTACCACCACACCTGGCCAGGCTGATTATTAAAGCTACACATTCCATGCTTCTAACCAAGCATCTTTAAATATTATATTTCATTGGCTAGCACTTCAAGACATAGAAAATATTAAGGTTCATGTATCAGAATTTGGTGGATAACAAGGAAGGTGGTAGAAATGGTGAGATGCCTGGTGATTGATCTTCAATATTCATTCTCCATAGTGGCAGATTTCTGTCTGATACGGAAGAAGCCTCTAAGGCCCAGAAATAGGAAAGCTGGAGTTCTCTGAATCAAAAGCACACTGAACCTGAGGAGATCAGCGTATTTGATAACAGGAGTTTTACCCCTAGTACACAAAATGACCCTGGCTGAAGTTACCTGAACCCACTAAGCATCGATTACCTTATTTAAAAAATGACATCAATTCATGTACTTGTTCAATAAATATTATGTGTACACTGTTCTGATAGATGAGCAAGAGGAAGAAAGTCCCTGTCCTCCTGAGCTTAAAGTCTTGCCTGTCTAGACTGCGACAATGTATTGAGAGACAGTAATAGATAGATAGATAATAGAAAGTCAGAGGGGAGTGTTGTGAAAAGTATTAGGATGAAAAGCAGGGCAGGGGTGCACAAATGGAGTTTGTTTATTAGTCAGACTTCATTAATAGTCAGGTGGTCCTCAGGTGATTTTGTTTCAAACAGATATATAATGTATTCACGTCAGAGCTGACAGCAAGTGTGTGATTAACAAATACATTATTAAATCAGCCTCTTGTACAGCTCTCAGTCCATGTTTTAGTCTCCAGATAATAGTAGTAATTAACACTCACTGAGATCTTACTGTGTTTTAGGTATTGTTCTAAGCCCTTTACGTATTTTAATTAATTTAATTCTTACAGTAGCTGTATGAGGTAGGGACTATTATCTCTTTTATGCTGTCAGAAACTGTGGCACAGAGAAGGCCATCAGTAAGGGTTGGAGACTGAGCAGTGAACCCAGACAGTCTGATTCAGAGGCTGAGTGGAAATGGTGAAAAGACTGTGTAGCTGGCATGTGTAGCTTTTTATCCCGGCAGGTCAAAGCCTCTGCTTCAGTTTCCTCATTTTAAGATGGAAATACTAGAACCTATCTTACTTCTGGGTATCTTGTTGAAAACAGCCTTCTTTCTGCTCTGTAGAACTGTACTGTTCAGAGATCAGTCTGGCAGGGAGTAGGAAGAGTCAAGAGGGCTCTGAAATTTGTGGAGGACAATGAATGCACACTAGGCAATTATCAGAACAACCCTAAAAGTTCATCTGGAGGCGAAGTCTTGGAAGCTAGTTTTTTTATTTATGATGATTTTTATGATTTTGAGCTAGGGCGGAATTAGGAGACTCCTAAATGCAGAAGACAGGTGATAGTGGATCTCATCAGTTAGCTTACCTATCAGGCCTTACAGAGATAATACTGCCAGTATGGGAAATGCTTTATCGCATATCAGGGCCAAAAGGGCACCTGGAGATGGTCAGGCTGGTAAATGGGGAAATTGAGGCCCAGAGAAGCAGAGTGACTTACCAGAGGTTACTAGGTTTATTACGGGATAGCCTGTTGGGGAAGTGAGTTCCACTTTCCCTAGGGCTTCCAAATTTCGGCCTCTTACCTGGCCCTCCAACGTGAGGAAGAAGCTTCACCTGGGTTCCGGGCATTAGCTACCTCTTCTCCACTCGGGTGCAGCTGTGTTCTGGAACCCAGGGTCCACACGGGGTTCGATTTGCGCGTGCGCACAGCGCCCAGACCCTATCTATCTTTCCTTCCACTCAGCTCTCCTTTGCCTTCCTCTAAGAGGTTGGGGGGGGGGCGGGGAGAGGAGCCCAAATTGGCCTCAGCCAATAGACTGACGGGCCGCGGGCCCGGCCCCCTCCTTCCCTCTGGTGCGGTCCAATAGAAATTTACTACAATGTTGTGGCGAGCAGAGGGGGAGGGGCGCGCGCGGGCGGGCGGGCTGTGGGCCGCGCTGGCCTCGCCTGGCGGAGGAAAGGCGGGAGGGCGCACGCCGGGGTTGCTCGCTCGCTCGCTGGCTCCCTCCCTCTCTCTCTGCCAGTGGGTTTAGTCAGTCTGCCAGCAACCGGCGGGCTCTGGAGCTGCAGAGGACTGGAGCTTTGGACTCCGGCGCCGCCTCTTACCATTGTTCGTCTGGCTGTAGCAGCGACGGGCGCGGGAGCCTGGGCTCCGGAGCCACCGGTGAGGAGGTGGTGGCGGCGGTGGTGGCGCGAGCCAGTGGGTGGGGGTGCAGCGTTGTCCCCGAGAGGACGGTCCTGGCGGCCTCAGCGGCGCTGCAGCCTCTTTGTCTCCAGCCCCCCACAGGCCCCTCAGCTTTCTGGCCGAGGGGCCTCGTCCGCGTGTGGGACAGCCAAGGGCTGGGGCGGAGACATGGCCTGAGGCTCGAAGGGGGCAGAAGAAGGGGCAGGGGGCGCGCCAGGGCAGCGCTTCCAAGTTGGGCGAAGGGTGTGCTTCTGACGAGGGAAAATCGGTTCCTTTTGGTCTCAGTAATTGTACTGGCCCAGACCCCCAGAAGGACGGCGGGGGGAGGGGGAAGCTTGCAGGTTTCTGACGTCGAAGGTGTGGGGGGCAGCTGCGGAGTGATTTCCGGGTGACGAAGGTGCTGGGCTGTTTGAAGAAGTGGGGCTGCATCAGAGTCTTGCCGTGCTTCCAGGCCTTCCCGCCACCGACACCTGCATCGTTATGAAAAGAAAAAAGAAAAAAAAAAATCTCCGAACCCATGGGATCCAACGGTTTCCCCCTTAGTCTTCACAATTACCAGTGAGCAAAGGGTTAAGTCTATTCTTTCAGCATCATGACCTCCTTTTTCAGTTCGCGCATCTGTCGGCTTGGAAATATTTCCTCATGCTTGCTGGGCTGCTGTACCTGTGGAGGATTCAGGCTCACCCTCTGAGATTTATCACCAGGCCTTTATTCCTAGGCAGACCCCGTTCCCAGGGTCGTTCTCCCCAGGAACTGGCATTCTCTAGAGAGAGTGATCTCACGTGAAACAGATTGCTGACGGGTTGGTTTCTGGCCACATGATAGCGACTGTCATCCTGTTGTTTCGCTAACTGTGCGGTACCATAAATGACTAGTCTGTGCAGACGTTGTTTTTAGGCATGTGTTGCTGATTAGGAGGTAGTCCCCACACCCCTTTATTCTTTTTTGAGAGATGCAGAGCTTTTTTTAGTAGTCACATTTCACAGCTGCTAGTTTGTTCCTTCTGTTTTTAGGAAAAATTGCAAAAATGGTTATGTCTTCTGTCTTAGATATTACAGTGGATTTATACTCTCTTTAGGATATTCTGCATTCAATGCTGTTACTCATTACTGTTTTCTGTGTTCTTAGTCCTGGCAAAATTTTTAGTTGATTTGATGCTAAAAAGCATCAAGGAAGATACACAAATCTTTAATGTTATTCCTGTCGCCCCAATCTTTTTAGTATTGAATTAACCCTTTTTAAGGAAACCTGATAACTCTTTTGTTTTCCTACTCTGTAAACTGAAACAGTGAATTCTTTGCCAGATGTAAAAGTTTTGGTTTAACAAACAAGTTTCTTGGGGGTGTTCATTTACATGTTCCATATAGAGTACATAATGGAATGCCTGCCACATAGTAAGAACCCATTAAGTGGCAGATTAAAAAGTTTGAACCAAGACTGGTGATGTAGCTCAGTGGTAGAGCACATTGCTCTGGGTTGGATGCCCAGTGCCCCCAAAAAGGAGTAGCTGAACATCAGATTGTTTTAGAATTGAAGTGCTTATTCGGAGTGCTTTCCACAAAAGGCTTATCATTAAGGTAAAACTAGGCATTATTTATGTCCTTGGACAAATAAGTACAGTGTATCTTGGTCACTGTTAAAAGTAAACTCATCATTGGACTCAAGTTCAGCATCCTAACCTTCTGAGTGTTTTTTTTTTTTCATTAACAAAACCATTCTTTTTTCTTCTGTATAATTGAATTGAGGCTTAGAAATACATGTTTTAAATCTTTAGGCCTCTTCCAAATTCTTTCAATATACCACCATTTATATCAAATATCCTACATGTAAGTTGTTGCCATAATGGCCTGGTGTACCTTTTCTTCCTTAAGTTTTTTTCTGTACCTTTTTTTCTTTGTTGGTCTTAACAGGGTTTCTTTAAGTAGTTCAGGCAGGACTAGAACTCACTGTGTAGCCTAGGCTGGCCTCAAACTTGCAGTGATCTGAAGGGCTGGAATTATAGGCATATGCCACCATGCCTGGCTTTTTTTTTTTTTTTTTTTTTTTTTTTTTTTTTGATACCGGGAATCAAACTCAGGACTGAGGCATAAGCAAGGCAGGTGCTTATGCCTCTGAGCTAAATCCCTAGCCCCCCCATGCCTGGCTTTAATTTACCTTTTTCCTTTCTCTCTTTATTTCTTACATTCTCCAACCAAATAGAACTGCACAGTAATCCATGCTTTGATCATGCAAGTCTATCCATAGTTGATATATATATATTTCCTGAATGTTTTTGGTTCTTGCTTTAAGTATGTTCCATATAACAGTAATTTGGAGTGTGGGAAAAAGTGACTTCTTTACAAGGAAGTTGAGAGGTTTTTATTTTGTTTTGACTTTTCTTTGAGTTTCATTAGTAGGGCTGAACAGTTGAGTTTTCTTTAATTGATGCTTATTGAAAGAATTTAAGTCCGAAATGTCTCATCTTTAGGGCTTGTGCTAGAATAAGAAAACCTTTTGGTTTTCATTCTACAAAGAACTAAATAGTCTGTCCAGTCTACCAATTGTCAATGCTTGGATAATCTAGCTGTCTGGAACTAGACCAAACTAATAGAAGGAAATCTTTATCTTTTGAATAGCTCTTTGCTTGTTTTTTGCATCTCTTCTCTTTTTATGAACTAAAGGTGAATGTATCTTTTTTTTTTAAATCTTGGTAATTTAAAAAGAAAATTTATTTATTTAGGTATGAGGAATCGAACTCAGGACCTTGCACTTGCCAGGCAGATGCTTGTGCCTCTGAGCTGTATCTCTGGCCTGAGGCCAATATGTTCTTTTTTTTTTTTTTTTTTTTGAGGCAGGGTTTCACTTTGCAGTTCAGGCTGGCCTTGAACTCTGTACAGCAATCTTCCTGCCTGAGTCTCTAGTGTGCTGGGATTGCAGATGTGCCCTACCATGCCCAGCCTCTTAATGTTTGTTGAGGATCTACACTGTATTTAATGTGTTCAAGTGGTAGACATGGGGAAAAAAACATGTCCCTCAGTTCTGGGGGAACAAAAATACATGTGCCTGGTACACGCTAGGCAACGCTCTAGTGATGTGGTACATATACAGCCCTTTTATTTTTTGAGGTGCTACATTGCTCAAGATGTCCTTGAATGTGTTTTTTGCTGTTGTTATTGGTTTTTTTTTTTTTGCTTTTTGAGACAGGGTCTTGCTATGTAGTTCAGGCTGGTCTTGAGCTCACTCTGTAGCCCAGGCTGGTCTCCAACTTGCAACAATTCTTCTGCCTCAGCCACCTGAGTGCTGGGATTACAGGTGTCTGCTACCGAAACCCGCTAGTCTTGTTTTCTTGTTATCTAAGAAGCAGGCCAGTATTGGCAGTGCTGCCAGGACCAAGAGACTCATCAAATTTGAGACTGGTCATTGCTCCACCAGAGGACTTTTTTTTTTACCCAATTGCTTGGACATGGAATAACTGAGGAACTAAACAACAATTCTGACCACTTTTTATGAATGACTTTGCTTTTTGTCTGAATAAAGCTTCCAAAAACAATATATAAGGGGCCTCTATATTGATCAATCATAGGTTTTCTTTACATAGAATTCATGGTTACTGGGAGGTAATTGCATCATTGCATTTATGATGGTTTTTAGCTAGAGAGCCAGATACCAAATATAAATATTGCTCTCTGTTCATTTATGTTTCTTAGTATATTACAGGTGTCCTTTTTTATAAGCAGATTCATGGTGTGTTCAGTAAAATACAGTATAACAAATATTCTGACATACACACTGGGTTAAATTAGTATTTTGGTTTACTCTGCTGCTGCTTAATGAATACACAGTGAGAAGGATAAAGGAAAAACTGTAGCAATAAGGGGTATCAGAAATAGAGGCATTAGAAAAGAAAACTGATATTTTTTGTTGAGTGCTGATCTCACTTAGATGTCACTATCTTAGTGACATTTAGGAATTAGGAATAGTGGGAGAATCTGATTCAAATGATGAAAGACTATTTACCTTATTTTGCTAATAAAGTGAATTATACCTGCTTTGAAGTGTTTGAAAGTAAATTGACTAGCTCTTTGAACTTTGGAGAAAAGGAACAAACCATATGGGGCCAGTATAATTCTAGGAATGACTTCAACGGATTTTAATACCCCTTAATCTTCATCAGCCTCCTCTGAAGTCACTCAAAGTAAGCATATAATCTGAGTCGAGAAACTGGCAGCTTGATGTGTCAATATTCTCTTCCTCCCACTTTAGTTTTGAGACAGGGTCTGTCTTTGTGGTCTAGGCTGGCCTTGAGTCACTATGTGGAGCCCAAGCTGGCCTCAATTCAATACATGCTAACCCTCATGCCTCAGCCTCCTAAGTAGTGGAGTTATAAGTGTGTGCTTTCCATGCCCAGCATATTCTGTCTCTCTTTACTGATTATTGTTCCTTGAAATCTTTTCTATATACAAATTCTGGCATCATATTCATTATTTATTATTATATTTATGATGACCAGTTCTTTTTTTCCAGTTATCGCTATATTATCTCCAATATAATCCGTATGGGTTAAACTATGATTGTTTATTGAATTAATACTATACATCCTTTTCCATAGTTAAGGGACTGTTTGGGTCACTTCCACTCACTTAATATATGCACTCTCCTATTCTTAACTTCAGCATTATTTATTTATAGGGATTGTATTTATAAGGATTATTTATAGGGATTAATATTGTTTTTGAGCTATATTAAGTGGAGCTCAGCTAGAGTTAAAATAATCTTAAAGAGGATGAGACAAGATTGCTGGAATGGGTAGGAAATACAACTGAGTTTATGCTAAATTAGATTTGAAGAAGCGGTAGATGTTCTATGTTTAATATGTATCTATAATTCTGTTATTGAGTTTGAGGCCAGTTTGGAAAGTCCATAGCCAGCCCAAATTACGTAGTGAGATCCTGTCTCAGGAAAACAAAAACAAACGAAAAACTTCATAAGGTTAATATTTTTTTTGCTGTTGCTGGGATCCATAGGGTTATTTTGAATTTAAAACTAACCGACAGCAATAATATACATATTTTTGCTAATTTATAAATATATTGTACCATGTAAAAGCTCAGTTTTGGGGGCTGGGGATTTAGCTCAGCGGCATAAGCACCTGCCTTGCAAGCAGGCGGTCATGAGTTCGATCCCCGGTACCGATTTAAAAAAAAAAAAAAGGCTCAGTTGTGATTCATGTTCAGCTATTAGTGCTACATACATTCTGAAATAATCTTACTGGAATTATTTTAACACAAGGTCTTAATGGTATATTTTTATAAAGAAATGCTATTTTATTTTGTATTTTAATTTGCTGATTTGAAGTTCTGTATATTCAAGTGAGGAATATTTCACCTTGATAACAACACTTGATACAGATTGTTGAAATGTGTTCTTCTACCCCCTAGATTTTGGCCATATGGACACCGGTAGAACTGTAAAGGGCTCCAAGAATTTAAGCCCTCAAATTTTACCTGCCAACTATTTCAGCATGCAGTAGGAACACATGGAAAACATTTAAAAGACTTCTTTCTTTCTTTTTGCTACCACCCACTTGCTATTTCTTGCCCTTTTCTGTCTGTTTTTTTAAAAAAATGATTCAGAGAATCAATGCTGTTGCTAACTTACTACCTGCTGAGTCCTGCTAATCTTGGTGGTATTATGTAATTCTATAAACCTTTTGCATAGTGTCTTATGATATTGTATATATATATATCCTCCCACACTTGTGTCTTTAGAGTAATTTCTTTCCATCTGGTGTTGGAATGATCTCTTTGTTAAGTTATTTTTAAATCTTAAAGCTTTCTAGCACCCTCAACACAGAAATAACACAATAGATAATTCACAGAGTATATTAGTAGCTTTTCCAGTGGAAATGTAAATTGTGTTTTATTTTAAAAATCATATCCTGTGTTCCAAACAGGCAAAACTTGAATTTTATGGTTATGTAGTCTTCATATAATTTTGTTAGGTAAAAAACAGTCAGGGGCTGGGGATTTAGCTCAGCAGCGTAAGTGCCTACCTTGCAGGCAGGCAGTCGTGAGTTCAGTCCCTGGTACAGAAAAAAGACCCCCCCCCCCAAAAAAAAATCAGTCATGGGAGGTACTTAAGGGAAAGGTGTCCAAGATTAAAAAGTCTGTTAGAGAAAGATGATTTTGAAGATATTTTCTTCTCTTAAAAGTGTATTGATATCTTCCAAACTTTTGCAGCAATTGACATATACCTGAGTTGTCATTTAAAGCTGTTATTCATCAATTAGATGACCAGCTTCTAAAAGGTAGAGGATTGTGTTTTGTTTTGTTTTGTTTTTAGTGCCAGGAATCAAACTCATGGCCTTGCACTTGACAGGCAGGTGCTGTGCCACTAAAGCTATATCCCTAGCCCAAGGTAGAGGATTAATAATGTCTTTTACTGCATTTTCCCCTAATACAGATATTGTTTATTTAGTACCTTTGCTAGACTTGTAATATAGGGCCATTATGGTATTAGTAAGAATGTGAATTCCAGGATAATTAGGATTTAAGAGATGTGTTATAATTCTGAGTCTGTTCTGGATTACTTCTCTTTGTGTGTGTATGCTATTTTCTTAGAAAGTATATTGTAGATGTCATGACACTCAAAACACTTCAGAATGTATCTTGATTACTTTTTTCTTGTTGCTGAGACAAAATACCCAACACCCCAAATTAGGGAAGAAAAGGTTTATTTAGCTCAAAGTTTGTAGAGGTTTCAGTCCATACTAGGAATGGTGGCTCATGGCACGGTAGCAGCAGTTCATGGTGGCTGCAAGCAACAAGAGTGAAAAGGCAAAAAGGGAAGGAAGGGAAAAGCACGTTATTTTCCCTGCCTTATATTGTATGCCAGCTATCCACACCTGAGTGGGTGCAGCACTCACACTGTCAGTTCCAGCGCTAGACAATGACCCAGTCACAAATGCTAGTTTCAGTTACCTCCATAACTGTATGAGGCTTTGGAGGGACATTCAAACACAAACCATGACAGTATGCATCTTCTAAGAATATAGCTATTCTTCATAACCACAAACCATTTTTTTTTTTTTTTTTTTTGGTACCGCGGATTGAACTCACGACCTCACACTTGCCAGGCAGGCACTTACACTGCTGAGCTAAATCCCCAGCCCACAAACCATTTTTGCATTTGAGAAAATTAATACAACTTCCCTAATATCAACCAATCCATATTTAGGCTTCCCCAGTTCGATTTTTAAAAGTATCTTATAGCTCTTTCATTTCCTTTAATCTTGAGAAGTGTTTACCTCCCTTAATTGTCATTAAGTTTGATGAGTCCTGGTGCCAGTTGATGTTGTACTCCAGATGTGTCTTACTGTTCTCTCAAAGTTTTGTTTAATTTGTTCCCCTATTTGTTTTGTTCCCTGCAAATTGTAAGTTAGTTTTATAGGTTTGATTAGACTCAGGTTGAACATTTTTTTGGCAAGAGTAGTTTAAGGTAACTTTTTTATTTGATATCATATCAAGAAGTTCATAATATCAATCTGTCTCACAATTAGTGATGCCAATTTTGACTACTGAGTTAAGGTAGTAATCACCAGATTTTCTCTGTGTTAAAGATACATTTTCAGTATTTGTGGTTATACTTTGGTGTCATTAAATGTCCTATTCCCTATTTATTCTCTTCCCACTGTTTGTAACATCCATTGATCCTTGGAGATTGTAAATAAATCAGCTTTTTTTTTTTTTCTGGTCTTTTTCCTTTTTATCGGTACCGGAGATCAAACTCAGGACTGCCTGCTTGCAGGGCAGGCGCTTATGCCGCTGAGCTAAATCCCCAGCCCCTTATATCAGCTTTCTAAAGATAACATGGGGGGCTGGAGGTTTAGCTCAGCCGCATAAGCACCTGCCTTGCAAGCAGGCAGTCGTGAGTTCGATCCCCGGTACCGATGAAAAGGAAAAAGACAAAAAAAAAAAAAAAAAAAAAAAAAAGATAACTTGGCTGGGCATGGTGGCCCACATCTATAATCCCAGCAGGTTGAGGCAGGAGATTACTGCTAGTTTGAGACACAGTTACTTCAAGACCAGCGTCCACTACATAGTGAGACCCTGTCTCATTTTTTAAAAAATTTAAAAAATAAAATGGGAAGTGGGTGGTAGTAACACATGTGTGTTCTATAATCCTGATACTCTATAAACCTAGCCTGGGTAATTTAGCAATTTGGTGAGACTCTATCTCAAAATAAAAAAGTAGGACTGGGGAATATAGTTCAGGACAAAGAACCTGTGTTCATTGCTCCTTCCCCTCCAAAAAACTCCAATGACTTTGCTACTGTGTTATATATCAAGGTTCTTAATATATCTTAGGTGTTGTATCTGTCCTTTTTTTTGGTACTAGGGATCAACTCACGACCGTGTGCTCACTAGGTAGGCACTTATGCCGGTGAGCTAAATCCCCAGCCCTTCTTATTTGTTCTTAAAATTTGGTTTATAAGGTTATATTTTATTTGGTAGGGGGGCATAATCACAATAAAGACTATATTGGCATATTGATAATTTTGGTTTTACTTTTCTGGTCATGTGCTTTTTTATTCTCATCATTAGGTATATGTACTTAGCCTTGATTATTATTGTTAATTTTTTTTTTTTTTTTGAGACAAGGTCTTGCTGTATAGTTCAGGCTACCCCTGACCTTACTGTGTAGCCCAAACTGACCTTGAATTCACTGCATACAGTGATCATCTTTCTTCAGCCTTGAGTGTGCTAGGATTACAGGCATGTGCCACCACACCCAGCAATCTGAATTTCAGTAGATTGATATTTCCTTTAATAGATAAGTAGTCTTTGAATTTTTATTAATATCTTCACTTAAATATAAAGATATTTTATTAAGTGCCAGCCATGCCCTAAAGAGAGTGCCTATATAAGTAAATAGAGAAAGTCAGTATCAATCCACTTAGCACAATTTACTTACTCAACTACTGTTATTTTCTCCAAATACTATTTCCATTGACTTATCCTTGCTGGTTGTTATAACCAAAAATGTTTAATAGTTTGTGTATTTTCTATGGCATTTTATAAGATCAAAACAGCTGTCTTTGGTGGGAATGGATTTATTAGGTATCCAAAGGGCAAGTCTTCCGCGTTTTGTTTACACAAGGCATTAGCTCTTCCTTCTTGGGCGTTCTGTGGCTTTGTCCTTCTTCCTTCTTCCTTGGATCAGCACACTTGGATCTTGAGAACATTTAGGCAACCTGTGGAGAGGCCCACATGATGAGAAACCAACTTCCGACAGTGAGTTTGTAGGTGGCTCTTTGGAGACCTGACAATGCCCAAGTTATTGAGCTTGGAGGCACATTCAGCAGGCAGAGTTGAGCCTTAAGATGAGTGCAACTCGGCTTGAAGACTACAACCTCATGAAAGACCCTGAGCCAAAGGAACCTAGCAAGCCATGCCTGGATTTCTGAGCCACAGAAGCTAGAATGATAAATGTTCATTGTTTTAAGCCATCAACTTTTGGGTATAATTTGCTGTACAACAACAACAACAGGTAATTACCACATCTGTAATGTATTTATTTAACAAATATTTATTGATTGTCTACTTTTTACCAGGCACTAATCTAAGTACCTTAGGACGTAGCACTGAATAATATAGGAGTTTCTAAAAAAGAAAAAAAAAAAAAAAGCAAGGGCCAGGGATTTAGCTCAGTGGTGGTGGTGTAAGTACCTGCCTGGCAAGCTTGAGGTTGTGAGTTCGATCCCTGGTACCAAAAAAAAAAAAAAAATGGGAGTTTATGCTTTTGTGGAAACACAGTTTAATGGGAGGGGGCATAAAATGAATGTACAAATCAGGAATAAAATGACATCAGATTTTAGTGAGGACCAGGGGAAGCAGAATAAAGGGATAAAGATAAGACAACAGAGTATTTTAGGTAAGTTACCAGAGATGACATTTCTTCAGTGTGACATTTGAGCAGAATTTTGAATGGACTAAGACAGTGAGCCATGCACATATGTGGGAGACTAGTATTTTAGGGAGAATAACAACATGCACAAAGGTTACGCATGTTTGTTGTATTTTAGAAACATTAAGTAGCCAGCATGGTGAGTGAAAATGATCTAGGGAAAAATGATAGGAGTAGAGTTCAGAGATGTATTAAGGAGAAGGAACAAATTGCGTAATGTCTTGTCTGTTAATGACTTTGCATTTTATTCTGAGACAAGAGTTCTTAGTAGAAGGACTTTGAGTAAAGGAATGGCACAATCATTCTTTTAATATTTTAAAATTATCTATAACAAGCACCCTGTGGATGTATGTGATCACAAAATGTAGAAAACATGATCCCTAAAGGAGCTTAATGATCTAGGATTAGTAGATGTGATTGGGTGTGCACACAAAAACTTAGAGCCTTGTAGTAATGGAAAAAGCAGAGTAAAACCTGGGTTAAAATTCTGGCTCTTCTAGGTGGTTCAACACATTTTAGCCCCTGTTTATTGGGTGCCTATGACTGTATGCACCAGGTAAAATAATACAAGTGCTTCCTGATGAACTAGACTTTGTGTGCTGTATAGGTGTGACATAGGTGTTAAATTGTTTGGTCTCCAGGGCTGGAATGTCTGGTTTTAAATTCTAGTTGTGTCACTGTTTAATGACCTTGGGCAAAGTACCTAACTTCTGTACATCAGTTGACTCATTCTGTGATACCAGACTATTCCTATACCTTTTAAGGGTATCATGCTGGTTAAATGAGTCAAATGTATGAAATATTCAGAGCTGTGCCTGACATTAAATTTAAGCCTTAGGGCCAGGGATTTAGCTCAGTGGCCCTGCCTGGCAAGTACAAAGTCATCAGTTTGATCCCTGTTACCAAAAAATAAAAATAAAAATAAATTTAAGCCTTCTCACAAGATCCTTGGTGTAGATGTTATTTATCCCATTTTGTATTTTAGATAACAGGTCAAAAGTTAGGCAACCATTGTGATCTTGTGATAGTACTTTACACTTTTTTTTAATCTGTAAAGTGAAGATAATACCCACAATACCAACAATTACTTAGTAATAAACAAAAAACCTTTCTTGTCACATATTCAGTAAACATTAGTTTCTTTTTTTCTTTAATAAAATCTGCATATGGGGGAAAATAATCTTTGCTTAAGAATTATTTGTACATTGTGGCCCATACTTTTTTCTGTTTAAATTGGATATCTATGTGTCTATGGTCATTATGTATATATGGCTATGTAGAAAGCATGTTTTTGTCCAGTGATGATCTTTGGTTTGGTTCAGGCTTATATTGTAACATTTAAAAACCTGTGTGTAGGGGACTGGGGATTTAGCTCAGCGGCATAAGCGCCTGCCTTGCAAGTATGTGGTCGTGAGTTTGATCCCTGGTACCGATAAAAAAGAAAAGGACAAAAAAATAAATAAATAAACCCCAAAAAACCCTGCGTATAATTTGCCTCTGTTCTAAGGACCCGTTTCACAGCAAGTCTGGCTTCGTAGCTTCATTTCCGGGTTGGTAGGACACAGTCATGTGGTTGAGTCCCCATTGTTGCTTTTATCTTTTGCAGCAGATGTGAAAGTAAACATACATAGTTGAAAAACAGGAAGGGGTTTTAGTTGGAAGGGTGTTTTGCAAGGGAACTTATACACAAGCTACCTGAAATCTGAAGTGTCTTGAATCTTTGTGACTTTTAGCAGCACATTGTAGTAAATAAAAAATAAACTTGCAGTTTAACATGTTCGTAAACATACATTCATTTTTGCTTTTATACATTTTGGAGAAGTGAATGTTAAGTTTCTATTTTTGAGTGAAACTAATGAATTTTTTTGTGTGTGATACTGGAAATTAAACACTGGGGCTTGTCCTGCTCCTAAGCAATTATCCTGCTACTGAGCTCTACCTCTAACCCTGAATAATTTTATTTTATTTTTTTTTCTGAATAATTTTATAATCATCCTTGTTCTGAGTTCTTTTTACCTGTGGAATAATTTGTCAACAAGAAAGTAGAATTTTTGTTATTTCTGGGTATCTGTTTCAATAGTATTGTGTTTGAACTTCGTTGAAAATCAGAACTTAAGACAGTATTTAAAAAAAAACTCTGCTTTATATATGCAAAGGAAAAACACATACTGAATGCTAGTTATGTATCATGTAGCACTTTCCATATGTGGTATTTTTGTAGACTGCCAAGTTAGGTAGAAATATTATAGGCAGGCAGACAGGGCTAGGCAGAGGAGGGAGTCAGTGGAGAACACATTGCGACTGTGGCTGGAGGCACATCCGTTGAAGGCTGGCCTCAAGATAAATCTGGAATGACCAGGCCTACATGCCTCCCTGAGGAATAAGCAATATGCTATACTTGGTATCACCTGGTCCAATAGAGTCTAGCTAGACATTAGTCACCCAGGTAGGTGACCAGGACTTCCAGACTCATCTCTTCTAAAAAAGGTCCTTATTCTTTCCATGTATACTTGCTAGGTGACTTGCTTCCCCATTGAATCAACATTACCTAAGCAGCTGTACTTGTAATCTTGTTGGATGATCATAGTTTTGCCCCACATTGTACCCACGTCATGGTTTTTCTCCTCTGGAATTTGGGGTCTGCAGCAACCCAATCAGGCACTTTCCTGTCTATCGGGAACCATTTCTTCCTGTTGTTAACCTCCGTTGTTTCTTAGAATTCATTCTTTGACTTTGGGGAACACGAACATGGTATACCTAACATCTAGCAGGCTGGGAGTTACTCTTATTTCCCTTATGTGATTTGGAGGTTTTATATCAGTAAATCAGTAATTGAAATTCTCTCTCTCTCTCTTTCTCTCTCTCTCTCTTTCTTGATATTGGGGATTGAATCCAGGATCTTTACATTGAACTACACCCTTCAGTTCCATTTATTTATTTATTTGCTAATTTATTTTTGACACAGGGTCTTACTATATATTTCAGGCTGACCTTGAGCTTATTATGTAGTCCAACTTGACCTCAAACTCAATATTGATCCTCCTGCCTCAGCCTTCTGCCCAAGCCTCCCAAGTGCTGGGATTACAGGTGTGCACCACCATGTCTGGCTCCCAGTCCCTTTTTAGAATTTTTAATTTTTACACAGGGTATTGTTAGGTCACTAGATGTCCTAAACTGGACTATAACTTGTATTTCTCCATCCTCAGCCTCCTAGAGTGCTGGGTCTCCAGGTATATATCACCAAGACCTGCTAAATTTTTCCATCTTTGACATCAGTCCACAAAATAATTTTTTTTCTTTTTTTTTTTTCGGTACCGGGGATCGAACTTGCAAGGACCACACCTTGCAAGGCAGGCGCCTATGCTGCTGAGCTAAATCCCCAGCCCCACAAAAGAATTTTAATTGCTTTGACAAAATCCCTCTTCCTTTCACTTCTTTCTTCCTTTGTCTCCTCTTAAATTATTCTTTCTCCTGCTTTTGCTGAACAGTTTTAGTATTTAGTATTTAGTGTGATGGCAGCCAGTAAGGATGTAGGTTTCGGAGTTAGACCAGAGTTTACAGTAAGATTATGTTTTTATTGCTATCAAAAAATAAAAGCCAGAGTCCTTTAGAACTGACTTTAGAAGGGGATTCAGCACCTGAGGTGCAGTAATTGGTACTCACAGCAAGGACCTTTGTTCCTAGTCTCTTCCTCCTGGGGAATCCCTTGCTGACCTCAAGAAGAGCTGCTTTCTCTTTTCTTTTCTGTCTCAGAGGAGAATCTTTTCTTAATACTACTATAGTACAGGTGGAACATTTTGTGTTTTACTAAAGGCTAAGATATATGAGGGAAATAAATGACTAGTATGCTTCTACATAATGTGGCTGAACAGGATAGACCTCCCCTTCCATTTGTACTCTTACTGGGATACCTCTTTTCCTTGACCTGTAACGTATATATCTGCCTTCCAATGACTGAAGCCATTTTTAATTCTCTCCACGGGTGTTTCTGACATCTCTGATTGCTCTAAATGCAGAGAAAAATGAGATTATCTATTTTGCAGCCTATGGTTATACCTGAGAAGAGGACCTGTTTCTTCCATCTATTCAATTCCAGGCCTCATAACCTTAGGAGAGACCACGGTTAGCCACACTCTGTCTAACTGCCATTCATACATAATAAACATGGATCATAGAGGGGTGTTGAAGTTAGAGGCATTTTAACTATTTTATTCTAGTTTGTATAGTACTTGTTTAATTGTACCTCAGGAATTTGGCACAAAATAGTTCTCAGGAAATACTACTTTC